CCCTTGCTTGGAATGTACTTACCTATGTTTTGATGTGTTCACTTTCACACCATATACCTTCTATTTCATTATCGGATTTGCGATAGATTACGTTATGCGTGAATTTCCAAATTAATTTTCCCAACATGATTATTCCAAACATGACCCTCTAAAGCCACAAAGCTAAAACCGAAGGCTGCTATTTGCAAATGCGATGGCGGGAAAACATTCCTTACCTATGGGTGAACCCTAAATTTGTTTTGCAAGAACAACGGCTCTCAAAAGAAGCAAAATCTGTTGCAATTTTTCAACAATTTCCTCTTGAAATATTACTTGAAGGGGGCAACTGTTGCGAGGCATTCCAGGTCCATTAAGAGGCTCTTTTGTTTGAAGGCAACAAAGCAGAAAACTTACCGGCAGCAGCAATCAGTCGTATACCTACCTACATAGATTTCTCTATAAGCAATTGACTAACAAAACATTAACGACATCCGTGATCTTGGGGGAATTGCACACATGCATTTTCAATAATGCAACTAAGTATGGATTTTAGTTTGATTATTTGGCCAGGCTCAGCTTTTTAGGCAAACAAAATATGGTTTAATTAATTTCAAATTCTCTTGGCCCTGGGTGCTTCATAATGGTAATTCGAAGCCCCGGGGTAAATGGAGTTTAAAAATAATAAAGGCTGTTTCGATACACAATCAGTTTGGAATATTATCGATTGAATGAATCCGCATTTTCTATGTCTCGCGATTATCTTTCAACAGTACCAAAGGCGTGCTGTTTTCGTCAAAATCAACTTAAGTTACAACCAACATTTCTAAAGTTTAAACTTCTTAGTTAATAACTGTAGACCACCCGATGGTCAATCAGCGGTAATTTTTTGTATGCAATTACGACTCGCACTCTTTAATAAGGGGCGGACAAAACACAATGTCTTTGCTTCTCCGCCCATGAAGGACCAAAGCGGCCAAAACGATCCCTTTGGCTCAACCGTTGAGCCGTCGCTTCAGGGGTTGATCAACATAGTTCATTTGTTGAAAACGTCGCTCAATTGATTAAACCAATATGCTCCAATGATTATTTTAGACATACAGTTAGTTGCCTTCGGTACTTTATTGTAGGCGTGCGCAAAACTTTTATACAAAATATAGGTAACTTGCTCATAACTACTTAGAAACGCGCTTTTGCCAACACAAAGCAAATCATGTGTGTCGGAGCAGGCATTTCTACGCAATTTCCGTCTTGTTTTCTGAATCCATAGGTAAAGCACTCTTACTGTAAGTGGAGCATTCAGTATGAGTACCTAGTGTTTGGTAAATCCACCGCACATGGTGCGAAAGCCATTAAGGGCCACTTGAAAATGCAACATGGAGTTTAGTTCTTTATTGCTTGCTTCACATTTCAAGGAAATGGTAAGGACCCGCATCATTGTCTATTTTGGTTTGGATGTTCCCGTGAGAAGAAGCCCGTTTCACCTGGAATGAGTTCTTACTCGGGATATCGTCGGTATACTAGAAAAGGTATCCAAAAGTCCACCAATAGTAGTTTTGAGCAGGGGCGGACCCAGCTTTAAAGTCAAGGGGGGGGGGGTTATGAAGAAAAATTACAGTGGCGCAAGATTATTGCAAAATTTCATGTTTTCCGTCCCGTTGTGCATGTTTCTCGGAAGCAAAATGAGCAAGAACGCCCATTTTTACATCATTCTAGAGAGAAATAAATGGCCTTTATTCGAAGGTTCTCAAGAACCATTCGAGCCACAGAATTCGTTTTGGCATCGTTGGATAGAGAATTGAAAAGTCGATCCAGTCGTAACAACGTTAGTGAGGAAGTTCGAGTTTTCAGTTTTCAGTTCAAGTTTTCCGTTCCGTTTTCGCTTATACAGGGTTGCTCATTAGTGCGTCAAAGTGCGATATCTCAGTAAATATGAAGTTTATTAAGAAAATTCGTCCAACGAAAGTTTTTCACGTTTAAAAGGTCCACATTCTAAAATTACCTTCCAATATACAGGGTGCATCATAAACGTGTGGTAGTTACCAACTCTGGTTTTTTAAATGAAACCCCCCCTTTTTTTTGTTATTTTCAGATTGGCCGTTCAATTTTAATTTATGTTTATTTCAACCGTTTTACCTGAAAAATTTACGATTTCCGAGTTATTCGTAAAAATGTGAAAGTTTTGACAGCTACTGGGTTCCACAGAAATCGATGCT